TTTGGAGGTGGCTGCAAGACCAATTAAAAGGAGTGGCTTCACATTGGAGGGAGCTTGCGGCACCATGTAGTAAGGTAGGTATTCCACTCATTAAGGTCTAGACTAAAAAAAAATAGTATATAGGGTAATAATAATAATAATAAAAAAGGATGGGGGTGGCTACCATCTGAATTATTTGTTCTGCCCAGAGTTCCACTTTAAAAAGTAAAATGTGGTTTCTATATTTTTTCAGTTTGCTTTGACATCATAGATTACAGGTCTCCTTTCAAACATTTCAGTTTCCCCTAATGCAAAATAAATAAATAAATAATAATTAAAAAAAAACATTATATATATATATATATATATATATATATATATATATATATATATCCTAGATTGTAAGCCCATAAGCTCTAACGTCCAGGGCCCTCTGTTTCCTCTTGTACCAAATTGTATTGTAACTGTCAATGTCTGCCTTCATTTTGTAAAGATCTGCACAAACTGTTGGAGCTGTATAAATCCTATATAATAAAAATGATATATATAATGAAGATTGCCTTTTTAAACTAATAATAATATTTATCATTTCCATTACTCTTTTAGATAGTATTTGTGAATCATGTAAATACAAAATGAACAAACATTATATTAAAACTTATTCTACTAAATGCATATGCAGCAAATAAACCTAGGTTTCTTAATGAAGGAAATATCATAGGACCATGCAGCCTACTGGACTGAAGACGTGACCAAAATAGCAATCAGACATCTTCCCTATAACTCCAGCCCCAGATACACCCTGCAACACTTCCAAGTGAGCAATCAATGTCTATAGATCTAAGGCAAACCCTGGCTTGATTTGTTACCACGCTGCAGTTAAAGTGTTGTAATGTACGAGCGTCATTCCAATGACATCCCCACCCTGCCCCCACCTGGCTCTTGAAGCTATCAGGTTTGAGGCCAGTGACATGTTGCCATTGATTGAGGCCACTGTCTATCAGCCTAAATAGCTTATTACCAGAGCTGCTACTGGGATGAATGTATACATCATATATCCATATGCTTCCTATGACACAAATCTTACACAACAAATTTACTGACTGGAGCTGAGGAGATAACAGATAAAGCAGTACAAAGTATGAGGCTGTTGTGGAAAGTGCACAAACCCATAGCAATCAGACTTCCTATACATAAATGTAAGTAAGTATAATTTGTAATTGATATCTACAGGTATCTGCATCTTGAACTTTGAGTTATTACAGCATATTAGTCTATAGAATACCCTTTGTGAAATTTATGGTAAGCTAGCTATTGTTGAACTACAAGTCTACGTATACCATGCAGTCATACAGGAAACAGGCAGCTCTTTAAACAGTAAGTGCACTTTAATGAAGTTTTATACAGTATATACATGAACATTCTTTATCTTTTTTCTAACTTTACTTTTTAATGCCAGGATGCCAGGAACTAGTGTTGTATTTATGTAAACCATTGCTCACAGTGTCCTCTGAAGATGCAATTGTGCCAGTCCTGGCAATAACCTGACAGTGTGATCTAGGATTATCAGAAAAGGTTAGCTATTTATATATGTACGAAACTTTGAGGAGGACGTACACCCTCAAATTACTGAACAGTCCATATTTACCTGCTACTCATACAGGACAGCAAGAATAATGAAAAATAAACTGCAAACTCTTTTGGGAACAATTAGCCTTAAGCCTAAACTTGGGCTACAACAGGTACATCTGCATCTGGAAGTCCATTGTGCATTTTGTGAAGCAAGAAAATCAGCTTTTTCTTCACATAATTTGATGTTTCAACCTCTAATAGGCTTATGCAGCTTGGAAAAGTTGAATTTTATTGATAGATTAACCTAAAAATTAGCTACTTATGATGTAATAGTACAAGCAATAATGCTTGTAGTGCACCAATTTACATTTACAACCAAAGGCCAGTAGTTTGAACATACCTGGGTTAAGTCTTGGAAAATCCCCCAGTGTACCTCTGGATATGATATTTCATGAAAATAATACCTGGTGACCCTGTCTTCAAGGTCCTCGTTCAGGAACTCACTGTTATGGGGTGACAACTGTCTACCAATTGAGCTCCCGTTTTGTCACATTCGTTGCACCCCTGTGGATGCTACAAATAACCATAATGATATACATGGTGCAGGCATTGTCCACTGCTATCACAATCAAGAATCCAGACCAGAGCAATGATGTATACCCAATGCTGAATGCATGTAGATAGGCTGAAAGAGGCTGGGGAGCACTGAGATGCAAAGAAGGGTGATAAAGGGTGAAAGTTTTATTTTATGAGAAAGAATGGCAATTGTCTATAATATACATACATTGCTTTAGCAAACTAAATGTCATCCAGTTAAGGTTTAGACCTACTTTGCTTCTCAGAAATATTATAATATATTGTGCAGTTACTGGCCCCAGTGAAATAAAGGGATTACTATTCTTGCACCCTGACTGAGCTCACTGAATAGGCAATATTTTAATTAATTTTAATAACTAGTGCTTTCTAAAATGAGTCTTATACAAAACTGGCAAAGACGGTGATTACAGAATATTTGAAGTATAAATAGATCGATCATTATCGCAATTGTGCACTATTCATTCCCACTACCAGATGCCAGATACCCATGTGGCAAATGCATTACATAAGGCCAACCATATTAAGAAAATTGCAGAAACACACAGCAACAAATCAGAAATGATCTTTTGTTGCTTTTACAAGTCTAAACTATTTGTACATTGTAATTACATAGCTCCCTACCTACCCTATAAAATAAGGAAAAACCAAGCAATTCTGATTCACCTGCCATAATCCGTAACATGCTAACTGAAAGCAAATACTGTACTGTATTGCAAAATCAGACCATAGAGTTAAATATTTGCATCCTAAACACAAACTGTGCACACACTCAGATAATCATTTGCCAAGTACTCCTGGCAGGCATACAAAGGGGATTTACTAAGACTGGAGCAGCTGTGCATGGCAACCAATCAGCTTCTAGCTTTAATTTTCAAAGCTTAACTGAACAAAATGAAGCCAGGAGCTGATTTGCTGACATGCGCAGCTGCTCCAGTTTCTGGCAGCTCCAGTTGTAGTAACTCCCCCCCCACACACACACACATACACACAAACACTTTAAACAGTATACACCCATTCTGCAATATACCCAACATCAAGAACAAAGAGGTATCCAAGGAACCTACCCTTATTTGTTCATGTCATTATAAAATCATGAAACGTCAAGATGCTAGCATAAGCTTAATATATAAAATTTATTCCTGTAACAATAGAAGCTAATCCATGCCACTGAATTGAGTTTGCTAGGTTTGCCCACCCCCCCCAGCAGTAAAAGCAGTAAAACAAAAGCATACATTAAAGAGTGCATAGTACAGAGCTATGTTCGCCTCAGTATCAATAGGAGGTAAAATAAGGGCACATGTCCTCCAACATAACAAGGAAAATCATATCGATATTTGGGATTAGTCACTGCATAACTGCACTTCAGGACTGCACTTGCACATCACCTAATAATTTTCTTTGTACAAAAGACTGTAATATCTCCGTGTACAACAAGTACAGGTCATAGACAGGAGTTAAGCAAACAGGACATTTGTTCAATGAAGGCAAAGGAGAAGAAAGAGAACTTATAAGAGAGCTGAATGCGATACTAGACTGTGCGGATGGGCTTCAGCACCACGCACAATGGACAGTTCCCCAGTAGCCACAAACAATACTGGACTGTGCGGCGGGGCTTCAGCACCACACACAGGAGACAGCTCCCATCTAGCCACCAGGAATACTGGACTGTGCGGATGGGCTTCAGCACCACACACAGTGGACAGCTCCCATCTAGCCTCCAGGAATACTGGACTGTGCGGCGGGGCTTCAGCACCACACACAGTGGGCAGCTCCCGATTAATCACCAGGAATACTGGACTATGCGGATGGGCTTCAGCACCCCACACTGTGGACAGCTCCCGATTAATCACCAGGAATACTGGACTATGCGGATGGGCTTCAGCACCCCACACTGTGGACAGCTCCCGATTAATCACCAGGAATACTGGACTGTGCGGATGGGTTTAAGCACCACACACAATGGACAATACTGGACTGTGCGGCGGGGCTTCAGCACCACACACAGTGGGCAGCTCCCGATTAATCACCAGGAATACTGGACTATGCGGATGGGCTTCAGCACACACACACAGTGGGCAGCTCCCGATTAATCACCAGGAATACTGGACTGTGCGGATGGGTTTAAGCACCACACACAGTGGGCAGCTCCCGATTAATCACCAGGAATACTGGACTGTGCGGCGGGGCTTCAGCACCACACACACAGTGGGCAGCTCCCGATTAATCACCAGGAATACTGGACTGTGCGGATGGGCTTCAGCACCACACACAGTGGGCAGCTCCCTATTAACCACAAAGAACCGGATAGCTGGAGTAGTAGCAAGGTGCAGCGCTTGAGATTACCTACAATACTTGATTTAAGCTCCACAAGGCAAATGTTATATAAGAAAATAAGAAATAAATTAGACATTATTTGCTTTCTATATGGTATTGTGTTCTGAGTTATTTTGTTCTCTCCATGATTAAAGCCTCCAAAATGCATTTGAAACACTAGGACTTCCCAAGCGTTTGCTGTCTTCTTTTATGTCCAGTTTGTGCGTGGATTGATAGGATGACATAGAATATCATATAGCTCATACAGAGAGATACCGGTATCCTGGGTGACTCTTATATACAGCAGGATGGGATTCCTTAAGCAAGATGGGATTTTGGTCTCATTGTGCGCCTTTCGTCTCCAGAAAAGAAAAAAAAAAATAAGACTAACCCCATTTTTCGTCATCTTGTATGGTAACGCAATATGGATTTGGAATCATGCGCTTTGTATTGATATTATTATTAATGATTTTTTTTTTAATTTTCCGGGACGGTGTCACCAAATATGTACAACACAGTGCCTCTTAGTGCCGTCAAGATCATGACAAGAGCACGGATTGCAGCAAGTCCTCCTTGGCATTGTCCAAAATTGAAGCTTCCCTTTGAGGCTGCTCGGTCATCCTGGCATAGGGATTGAAGGGGCTCTGGTCTCTTCTCTGGATGTCGGGAGAGTCGTGGCCACCAGGGTCTTGAGCCTTACTTGGCTGTCTGTTGCCCCTTTGTGCCTTGGGGCTGCAGTGATCCCTCTCGTATTCCTCCTGGGCTTTCTCTATTTTACGTTTCTTCATCTTGCTCTTGTGCAGGTGGAAGGTGCTGAGGGACAAGACCACCAGGCAGAAGATCACAGTGGCCAGGACGATCAGGACCAGAGTGGAGGAGAAGGACTGGAACAAAGGCTCCACTTCGGTCACACAGCTGGTGGTGTTGGAAGAAGAGGTCCTGTTCAGCAAGCAAGGGGGCATGGAGAGCCTCAGCTGCTTGGAGATCCTGGCACTCATTGAGAAGGCTTGGGGAAGAAGGCACACCTCGCCTCCCTCTGATCTGTACAGGTGTGGTGACACTGATAGGGCTGAAGAAGGAAGTGATCATAGACATCAACCTGCGGACCAAAGACAAGGTTTACTACTGAGAATCTGACTGCAATATATATATGTGTGTGTGTGTGTGTTGTGTGTGTGTGTGTGTGTGTGTTGTGTGTGTGTGTGTGTGTGTGTGTGTGTGTGTGTGTGTGTGTGTGTGTGTGTGTGTGTGTGTGTGTGTGTGTGTATGTGTGTGTGTGTGTGTGTGTGTGTGTGTGTGTGTGTGTGTGTGTGTGTGTGTGTGTGTGTGTGTGTGTGTGTGTGTGTGTGTGTATGTGTGTGTGTATGTGTGTGTGTTGTGTGTGTGTGTGTGTGTGTGTGTGTGTGTGTGTGTGTGTGTGTGTGTGTGTGTGTGTGTGTGTGTGTGTGTGTTGTGTGTGTGTGTGTGTATGTGTGTGTTGTGTGTGTATGAATGTGTGTGTGTGTGTGTGTTGTGTGTGTGTGTGTGTGTGTGTGTGTGTGTGTGTGTGTGTGTGTGTGTGTGTTGTGTGTGTGTGTGTGTTGTGTGTGTGTTGTGTGTGATGTGTGTGTGTGTGATGTGTGTGTGTGTGTGTGTTGTGTGTGTGTTGTGTGTGTGTGTGTTGTGTGTGTTGTGTGTTGTGTGTGTGTGTGTGTGTGTGTATGTGTGTATGTGGTGTACACTCATATAGGATCCAACATACACTGTTCTATCTTTAACACCGACAATTGTAACCGACTGATACATTGTGGCACCTTAACCAATAACACCGACAATTGTAACCGACTGATACATTGTGGCACCTTAACCAATAACACCGACAATTGTAACCGACTGATACATTGTGGCACCTTAACCTACAACACCGACAATTGTAACCGACTGATACATTGTGGCACCTTAACCTAGAACACCGACAATTGTAACCGACTGATACATTGTGGCACCTTAAACTACAACACCGACAATTGTAACCGACTGATACATTGTGGCACCTTAAACTATAACACCGACAACTGAGTCAGCCGAATTATACAGTCATGGAGCTCTTTATACGGGACATTTTATGCACCAATGTGCTTTAGGAATCCTTGATTCGGATGTCAAGTAATTTGCTGCCAAACCCTTTGCCTTTCTTCTAGCTCCCCCAGCCCTCAATTCACTATAGTGACACATCATTGCAAACTTGGGACAATAGGAAATCCTTTACGGACTGCAGTGACTTCTCCTGCAGACATACATGAGTGAGTGTCACCCTTCTCTTGCCTTACCTGATGTGCACCCATGGGTCTCGCATTAACCATGACATGCTTTGAACTATGCATACCTGCCTGAAAGGTGACTAATAAGCTTCCAAAGGTGGGTGTGTGCTGTAGAACAGGGGGTGCTCAGGCCGATGATCTTTCCATTGCAGGCACTTACCTGTAGGTAGGTTGGCTGCTGCGGCTGCTGCTGCTGGATTCCCTGCCGCTGGCTTGCTCCTGGCTGCAGAAGGCACTGAATGAGCGGACGGGCAGCTGGGGAGGCAGCAGCCTATTGCCAGTCTGCGCTGTACTGACGTCATCCTGCCACTGTCTTGGGTTTCTGCTCTCTGAGCTGCCGGTCCCTCCAGCCGGCGCCCGCAGCAAGATGTGCCTTCCCATTAGTACCCAGCCAGTGGGCGAGGACCCCACCTGCACCCCGGCACCGGCAACACCCTTTAAGGGTGAGCTCAGGATTTCAGAGCAGAGCATTGCTGGCAGGAGGCAGTGTGAGCCTTCTGTGCTGGAATAGATTTAGAAGGAGCTTTGTGGTAGAACCCTGCAGCTTTCCTCTGCAGTATTGAGCTATATTCAGATTACATTAAAATTCCTATTGAAGCTGTGAATCAATGATTATCTCTATCCTGGATGTTCCTTTGCTCATAAACTGTTAGGATTGGCACTACTGTTCCATGTTACACAGGAGGGTAAAAAAAAAAGTTAAAAGGAATTGTTATTCTTATAGTGATCCATTTACCACACAATAGGATAGTGCAAAGAGCAGAAAGAAGATTCTAAGTCGTTACCAAATAGAAGAATTCTGGTCCCTTGAAAAGAAGAATTTTGTTTTAGAGTTGCTCACACCATTGTGTTGCGGTAGCGTGTGTTACACAAGTTAGGGTAACGTAGTGTCATCCATTCTGTAAGGGCACAACAACAACACACCTTCATTAACACGTGCGCTTTAGTGCACTGCGCTCAGAAAATATCGCTTGCCTCCTTTTTTGGAGCCTTAGGTATCCTGTATAAAAGAATGGGCTGCCTTAATGTCTGTGGTGTATTTAGTTCATGTGCTGCCCTAGGTGACACTAAAATCATGTAAGTCCAGCATTTCATATTCCTGATACGTGCCTGTTGTACAATGTAACTGTATGAAAACATATCCTGTTCCCTTGGTATTGCTTCCTTTGTGTGAATTCCCTGGTGTTACTGCCATTCCCTCTCCTATCCTACTAAAAACTCACCACACTACTAAGAAGAGCACAGTGTGGTCAGTTTTTTTTAGAAGTTCTTGAACTGAACCTGTTCTCCAGTGATCAGACTTGTCTTGAACACCCTCCATGCATAGCCTTTCACTGGGAAGTTCAGTGTGCTGCTGTTTCTTCTCCACAAGCTTCTTCTGAGAACAGAGTGTGATCACTTATAAAAAAGGGGAAAAGGTGTTTTTAATGTATATATATTCATTTCTATTTTGAATTGAATGGGTTGTTTTACCAGGTGAGGGCTTACATATACTTACATTTGGTTCAGTTTGCTTACATCTGTGGTTGCAGAAATGCATTGTGGAAGCCTTTGATATGCCCCTCCTCTCTGCCTGGTCCAATCAGAGGACACCTTGTATTCACTGAAAAAAGTACAAGCCATCCTCTGAATGGTGGAGTGACCCATTGTATTCAGTATACATACGGCAAGTTGCTTGAGCAGCACCTGTAACAAGCAACACAGACTGCTGCAGTGTTTTTCTGTATCTCCATCAGCCCTCCAGATGTGAGCTAAGAAGAATTATGCTCCATAAACACTGGGCATTTAGCCATGCTGCATGAGGCTCCAACACTTAGGTGCAGATCTTAGATACAGGTGCACTGTCTAGTCCCACTGCCAGCAGCCTGTTAAGCTTTATGAGAGGTCTTGAGCTGCTAGGACTTAACTGGGCTGGACAGAACACTGAAGGGTACTTATGTTTAGTTCAGGGGTGCCGACTGCTTGCATTTCAGGCATTCATCCCATGATGCATACATACTGCTCAGTGCACTGTCCAGCCCTGTCCAGCCACAGGAGCTCATAGAATTTGACAGGCTGCTGGCATTGAAGCTGGACAGTGTGTCTGTACCTTCCACCTGCACCTAAAAGCTGGACTCTCAAGCACAATGGCTTATTGCCCAGTGTGCATGAGGCCATAGATTTAACCAAGCTGTAGGTAAACAATACAGGACATACAGAATGTCACAAACATGCATACATACAAACAAATGCTAACTAACCTTACCGAGCAAATGAACATTGTTAATAGTATGCAGGCAGCAAGGGTATACTAAAAAATCACTTGGTCCACATTTTCCATAGCAAACAGGACTCCAGGCATCTCAAGCAACTGTAGGAAACCAGGTTCTTGATATGTATCTCTCGTAGTGTGGCTTGTAGAGATATCTCCTCTGGTAGGGTCTTCCCTCTTCTTGTAAAGGCCCTTCTGACAGAACTCTTTCCTGGTTATTTGGAGTCCATCTGTCAGCTTGTGTTGCCGGCTTTTTATTTAGAAAGCTTGGGTAACCCTTCCCATGTTAGTGTATCTTTTTTTCTTCCTTTGTTCATCAGTTTCTATGACAGAAGTAATTTTTACATCCAAACTCTAGATGTCATTGTAGTATCATACATACCATGGGTCAAATATGTCATAAGGTCAAGCTATTAATGCAGAAGGATGGACTTCAGACCAGTCTGATGATGCAGCTGTTCCCCATTAGCTGCAAGCCCAAGAACTGAACAAGACTGCTCAGTTCTTAGTCTTCCCAGAGCAGAGCAGAGCAGAGCAATGACTGTCACTCACCAGAGCGCTGGGCTGGGGAGGGATCAGCACACACTCAGCAGTACACTGAAAGGCTGAGCCAGCTGGCAATTAGTCATCCAGGTGGATCCTGACAATATGTCCAGGATCCTTCTAGATCCTGGAGCAACTCTGTGGCATCAGCTGACAATGGTCTTTAATCCACTGTCAACTGATTCTGGGTCACAGGAGAGCAAAAGAATGTGCACTCCTGTGACCCAGAACAGACATATGGCCAAAAAAGCTTTGGTCATAGTTGTCTTTTAATCCTTATTGATATAACATTGCGTCTAATGTTTGAAAAAGCTCCTCTAAAACATTGGCAATAGCTAAATATGTGCACATTGTCCAAATATACAACAATTGTACCTACTTCCCCACTGTATTAGAAGACAGCAAAACTAGTCACATGCAAACATTGTTCCAATTGCACCTGTTTGTTCCCACAAGAAAACGGATGTTGCTTACTCCTAAATACAACAAATGTGTTTATGTAAGTCTGAAAAATAGCAGAAATCATAACACATAACATATACTTCTGGCATGTGTGACATTCAGCACCACATAGCCCCTTTTGTCTTGAGATGGATTCAGGTGAGTAACTTAGCTGATGAGCATCACTTATGTTGGAGTCATCTACTTAGATTCACACTTAGCAATGTTTACAGAAATTGACTGACAGCTGTGGTAAGGACCAGTAGTCTGGTACGTCTGATAAGGTGCATTATTTCTGATACATTCAGATTTTTAGTTTTCAGTTTTTTACTTCCAAACTTTTTGCCCAAGCCCTCCCATTCTAACTGTCTCACACACTGAACTGCGCAAGACCAAATGTCTTGAAGGAAATATAGTGCCAGCTGTATGCAAAGAGGAATGTAGTGGTCACTACTTATAGGTA